CGGGCGTGTAGTGAAGCTATTCCAATTGATCTCAAGTCATAAAGCCTCCAGAATCGTAAGATACAGATCACAATTTACCCCTTTTTGCTTTCAATTTGTTTTCTTGGTTTTACATGTTTTAAATCAATTTCGTTTGCATAAATGTGTTTATAATCATGCTTGAAATATGTTTGAATACTTGGATTTGAGTTTTAGCGCAGGAACAGACTTACGTCATTGCTAGGGTTTGAAAGCTTCAAATTAGGGATTCTCCGTAGAGGCAAAATTAGACCAAATCGTGGGTACCAATGAACTCAGGGCATGATTTGCAATTGATCTACGCCTTTGGTTTTGATTTATCTTGCTGGTATTTTAGTTTTGAATCTTGCAGGGATGTAGCTACGGACAAAAACAGTCTCTATAGCCTTTAGTGACAGTTTTGTCTGTAGGTAAAAGGCTGATACCTAAAACAACAGTCTTGAGGAAGAAAGTGATCACGTGGCTGACTCCCACTAGCCGGTTTGAATTCTGGTGCGCTTCCTAAGGCATAGCACTTTATTTATTTTATATTGTATTTGTTTGATTATGTTAACAGATGAGCCATCCAGCCTAGACGGTAAAGCAAGCAAGCGTGTAAGGGGAAGGACCTGGGTTCAATCCCAGGTCCATACATTTTATTATTTTCCTAATAAGTGTTGCAGGATTCCATAATCCATGCAACCAAGTGCCTATCATGCACCACAAGATCCATACCATTGGATCAATCTCCTCCCAGATCTAATGTCTCATGCATGCAAGGTCCATGATGCACCCTCAGGTGTGGCCCTCACTGGATCCAGACAATTGATTGGGCCAAATAATTTGGGCTCAACGAAAATCAATAATGCACCCCCTGATCTGCTTTCATCACAGGCCCAAAATTATTTCTTTCCTTTATTTCTTTTATCTTTTAATTATTTGTTAATTATTTCTTTTTACAAAAATCATTTTTTATTAAATAAAAAATAACAAAAAATATAGAATTAGGTTTTTTATTTAAATTAATTATTATTGAAAATAAATTAGTTTAATTAGATTAACCTGGTTGTTTTCATATTATTTAAAATTAACTAGAAATTAGGTTTAGTTTGCAATTAAATTGTTTTTCTCATTAAAAAATACACACAAATATTTTTTTAATTAATTAGATTTTTTAGGCTTCTAATTTATTCTCGTATTTAATTCGTTGCGCGCGCCTTTAGTTTCTTTTTATTCAAATTATTGTAACTGTTTCAAGTTTGTAATAGATTAATTAGGATTTTAATTTTCGCATCTTTATTTTCAGTCAAATATTTATGTATCTGCCCAAAAGCCTTGTAATAGTTAGGACTTTAATTTCTCGCACTTTTTAATTTTTGCAACTATTAAACTGCTAGATGTATGTATATTAGGATTGTATGCGAAAGATAAATCAACGACTAAAAGGTAGATAACCCTAATTGTGCAAAGATAATTAACTGAAAAAAGCACACTTGCACATGCTCACTCCTAGGGTTTTCCCCACTCCGGTTGCATTCGATAAACGGTCATGAAGAATAAGGAATTTTAGTGGTCGTCCTCTAGTCCCAAAAGATAAAAAATGACCCATTCGGGTGTTGTATCGGAAAGATCTTTAGGACTTTAGGGTAATCACTAAAATTTCCTAACTATTGCTTTTGTGACCATACTTGTCCCTTCGAATTTCCCTTAAAAACTCCAACGATGGGGCTACCTACTTCTTAATAGTAGGATAGCGTTGTCTAAAGGAAACGAGAACGAACAGTCTTTTTTCGAGTAGGTAGAAAATCTTAAGTACTTGCTCAAAACAACAAAACTTTTTCACAAACAGTTTTCAAAAACGACTTCGTCACACTCTTGAGGACAGATACAAGGGTTATCACAAAGTTAAACAAAAACTTTTCAAAACATACACAAGCAATTTCAAAATGAGCAAGTACCTAAGAGCCCGTGGAAAACCACAGATAGAAAGGGTGCTAACACCTTTCCTTTCTATAATCTACCCCCCCCCCCCATACTCAAAAACATCTCGAAAAAAGGTTTTTTCTGTTCTTTTTCCTTTTCCTTTGTTGGACGAAATAAAAGTCGGTGGCGAATCTTGCTTACCGCGACATTTGTGAATACAAAATGCAAACTAGTATTAACAGTCGGTTCTTCCACTGTATCACAGTTAGGTTATGGTTTTGGGGAAGTTTTTGCTCCTAACTCCATCAACCTCCAATTTTGTAAGGATTAGCTTAGATAACAACTATAAAGCTTGCATACGGATGATCTGGGGTGGATTGCTCTTCAATCCGCACTGACAAACCGGTAGATCTGTGGTTCATTTCTCTTTTTCTTTGTGTATTCACTATTGGTTGGGTTTGTATATGTATTTTATTTGATCTCATATATATTTGTCGCCCTTGGCGTTATATAAAAATTTCTTTACTAATCTCTGTCGATTGTTATCCTTGATTTTTGCTCAGTGCTAGGGATTTGAGTCGCTATAGTCATATACTGCTTAGATTCTTATCTAGGATGATTATCTAATTGTGTTTGAATTCTAGAGATACATTTAGCGCTGCTATTCACTTAGGGTGTCTGTGATTAATGCCTCTGTGTTGTTTGTGTCGCTCTAAAAGATCATCGATGTAAACGAGCACGGTTGACTTCTATGTTGTTGAGGTAGTTGAGAGATTGCTACTGAGGTGATGCAGTCGGACTCTCAATTTGGTTTAGAAATGACTTAGGTTGTGAGTGACATGTGATGACATTGATGAATATTGTAGGATTAGTATAACAGGTTGATAGGTTTAAGTCGGTGAGAAGTAGTATATATGCATGCTTGATAAGTTATTCCTTTTTCCTTTTTTGTACATTTTTTTTTGTTGATACTTTTCCTTTCAACTCATTTATCCCTAAACTCATTAACAAGAAATTTGTCGAACGAAATTTTAATTCACCAATCTTTGTGGAGACAATACGATATAACCTAAATATCATTAGGTAAATTAATAACTTTACTTTTTGCTTGCTGCTTTACCGCTCCCAGCACATATACATTGGTTCTCTAAGAGATGAACTTGGCTTCAGATTATGGGATCCTGAGAACCTTGGAATGCTCTGATGTTGTCTAGGTCAAGTAGGGGCCTTTGGAAAACTCTCTAAAATAAGACATCAGGTGAACTTCTCGGGTCAATAAACACTCACTTCATTTCCCAATTATCATATTGCACCGTGACGATCATTTTCGTGAAAAGAACCCCAACATCATCTTTTTTCGAGAAGGTAGTTTTGGATTCTCGTTATCTCCCCAGGGTTTGGTAATGTTAGCAGGTATGACATTTTCTATAAAAACCAGCCAACAAAACCTCCATTGATGGTGTTTATAGTGGCCTTGGAGCTTTGCTTAAACATCCTCGTGAGAAGATGGTGAAAACAAATGAGGGGTACCAATGAGTGTGACCCAAGTTATTTTTATCAGGGTCCTATGGTTGGAGATAATTTTACTTGCTAAAAGTACAATACTTGATAACCCCTAGTGATTAAGGATTGTCAAAGACTTTTAGGTTTGTTGTAGGGTTTATAGCTAGCTCACGTAGCGAGGTGAGAAACTTTGTATATAGTATATGCATAAATATGATATTGTCCTCCTCAACTTTGCATTAGAAGTATTTATAAGAGTTTTTGGGCCTCGATCCCAGACACCTATGAGGTAACAACCACTTGTGAGAGAATGTGAAAATACATAATTAATCTCCTATTGTTCTTAAGAGCATGGTTAATTTCCCCCCGACTTCCTTTGCATCGTTATGGACTAGGGACAAGTCATTTTCCCCAATCTCCCACTTCAAGCGAGCTATCCAAGAAATAGGCTAAATATTTGAGGAACGGGTCTCACATCTAGAAAACGGGCAACCAATATAGGAAATGGACGATTAGGAAGGCGTTGTGGTTGATGTGTTGTATCACTTTTCTCCCACGTCGTCCCTTGTGAGCCATTTACAAATATACCAATACAAGTAGTCAATAGTACATAAATGTATTATCTGAACTCTCCTAGTCCAAGTATATTTTCCTAATACTACCCGTAAATTTCGACTCAGACTCCCCTTGAGTCTAAGACCCCTCTCACTTTCACTCAAACACTTTCTCAAGTGTTTGCAAGATTACAACTATATGTGGCGTGATAAATCACAATTACAACAAAATACTTTATCCTTCTAACTTAAGAAAGATACCCAAGAATAGAGTATTAAAAACAAAATACAAAAAACTTAATGGAAACAAGAAGATAACGCACTAAAATCTTCAAGATCTGAGTCTTCAAACAAGGAGATTTATCTCCTTAAATAACTAGAAAACCCTACAGAAAAAAGCCTAATAGAGTTTTGACAAAAGGCGACTGATTCCAATAAATGCAAAATCAACATTTCTTCATTAAAGTCAAATCTAAATCATGAACCTAATCAAATCCAATTAAATCTTTATTTGACTGATTTAATAATTTTTGTCAATCAGATTCAAATTCAAATTCTTTTCCAAATAACGTGCTATAAATTATATTTTTGATTGAACTAAAATGGAAACAAATCTTGAAATAAAAACTGAAATGATAATCAATCGGATAAGATACGCACGTCAAAATCTGACCGAGACAGAATATCTCACACTAAGTAAGAACATCTTGCTTAATATATCACCTACAAAAATTTATCAATCAAATGTAATAATAGCCTAGGAAAGAAAATCATTTTTATATGTTTATGTTTTCTTTTGAATGTACGAATATAAAAGAAAGCAGAAAAGAAGTGAAAAAAATAGAAATCAAATATGCATGTAATTTATAAGCCATGAACTACAATAAAAGTTCACATTGATTTCTATAAAACAATAGCTTCTAACTTCACAAATTTACAAGGAAAAGAAACGTACATTTGACAAATAAAGAGAGCATAACATAACCCACAAATTTCACTTACTATTTCTTCATATATTATTCCCTATTGAGAAACCACACCTTGAACTGCAGGACTTTGAGGCCTATACTTGTACCTCTTTGAAACTACCAAATAGACAAAGAAATTGACCAAGCTCAACAAAGAAAGCAACAAGTAGAAAAGGTTCAAATGGTTCCTATTAATATTATTCCCTGCTAACCATCCACCACTTGCAGTAATATTCTTGGTAGCCCTATTCACAAGTTGCACCATTATGCTGCTTAGAAAATATCCAATTGCCATAGAACACCAAAGGAAGCATGTTGATGTAGCTTTAAGTCCTTTTGGTGCTTCTGAATAGAAAAACTCAAGAAGTCCAACATAGGTAAACATATCAGCTATACCAAACACAAAGTACTGAAAAGATAGCCAAAATATACTAAAAGGTAATGGTTGAACTCCTGGGATAGCATCAAGCATGTTATTGTCTCTAGCAACATTTTTTCTTTTCCCTTCTATGATTGCTGCAATCGCCATGGAAATGCTGGATAGTACTAGCCCGACTCCTATTCGCTGCAAGTGAGTAACACCGGTGGGAATTCCGGTAAGTTTACGAAGAAGTGGCACGCAGATTTGGTCGTAGAAAGGGATTAGTATGAGCAAGAATGCAACTGGTATGATTGGTAGTGATGCTGGTGGGATGTTGAAGTGTTTCGCGATTCTTGTTTTCATTGTGAAACCTTGTTGAACTGAGAAAGTTTGAAGTTGTGCTAAGCAAAGTGTCATTATGATTGTGCAGCAGAATATTGGAATCACGCTTAGGATTATTTTAGCATTTTCTACTTGTGTAACTCTGCATAGTTTCCATGGATTTGGAATCGCTTGTTTCTCAGATTGTGCATCATCAGGTTTTCTTTCTATTGCTGCTTTGTCCAAGAATCTGTGCAAAAGGAAACATCAATTTAGAACTAGATGCAATCAGTGACATGGTTAGCTAGTTTTGGATAGTAGTAGGAGTGAACCTGAAAATGTCTCTATGAGGCAGAAATTCTATTTCTATTGCAGCTTCTTTGTCCTGTTCAATTTCATATAGTTCTTCAGAATCTGCAGGAAGTGGAAGATTTCTGTTGCGAATTGCCACAACGTATACCTGGAAGATGAACTACTAGATCAACACTGTTCTTATTTTGAATAATTGAATAAAATTTTCTAACGCTGAGACGATCATGGTCGCTTACACGCTTGTATAAAATAATATACCTGCAAGATCTCAATAAGAGAATTAGTTCTCTGAGCAACCTGAATTCGATACAACGGTAATCCAAATGCAAAGGTTACAGTAGCACAGACGATAGCAATGGTGGAGACTCCAAATCCCCAATCCCATCCTTTACTATCTTGTATCCAGACATTAAAAGTTAAGCTGACAGAACCACCAACACAAAGTGCAAGTAAGAGACCATTGAAGAAACTGGACATTTGTCTAGCTTCTTTGGGATTTCTTTCATCAAACTGGTCAGCACCATGTGGTGGAAGAGAAGCTTTCAATCCTGCACTACCAAAGGCCAATAAGTAGAGACCAACTAAGAGAAAAGCTTCATGGTTGCCTTTGATTTTTTCACACACTGCATTTTTATCATAGAGGTTGCATATTGCTGGCTTTAAAGAACGATTGTGCGCTTGTATTGTGAGTAACACCAGTCCCTGCAATATAATTTACGATCAGACTTATGTTTTTGGAGGTCTTGTGTAAGTTTATACTGAATAATAAATAGGAGCCATATTTTGTCACGGTTTAAACATGACAAATATTTTGAGTGTTAGGTGGTAGCCTGCCTTCAAAGACGACTTGTTCACAACTACATTACTTGCCAAACAAGGTATATGGTATAATTATGGAACTTACCAAACATTCAATGCTGCCAGAAAAAATAACAGATTTGTATCTTCCAATCAAAGTATCAGCAAGAACAGCGACAACAATGGAAAGCATGTAACTAACTCCTGCGTAGTTTGTTACCATGTTGGCTGCATCTGCTAGTTCATAATGCATTATTCCAGTGAAGTATGACACCAAATTCACTGCTAGTGATAGCGTTGCCATGTTCTCAAATGCAAACGCACCTGCACCAAAAGAACTGCAATTAATCAGATATCACAAAAACATTGTATTGGTTCTTTTTCATGTTATTATTACTTAGTCTTAATTACCTAGAACAAGCAAAGACACTTTCATTCCCCCATGTTTGTGTCTCACAGCTCTTCTTCCTCTCCAATCAACTTTTCCATCAACTATCTCTTCTTCCTGCATGCATGTAAGAAGTTAGATTCATAGGGTGCGTGCATGTGTGCATGTAAATAATGAAAAGTACCATTGTTGTGGAGAACTTTTTTGAGCAGCTAGCCTATTCAAAAGAAAGAGAAGAACTAGTAAACTACAAATGCAATATGAAAACGAGTCTCTACCCTCCCTATATATAAATTTTCTCAACTATAAGCAATATATAATAATTAATATCTTTCATTTGACTACTATATTTTTTATTATTAAGAAACATCTGATGACCATTATATTAATAATGTGTGGTTCATTTAATCCTACAAAACCGATTTAAGACTTAAATAAAGATTGTCTCTATTTATAAGAATATTTTTAGGTTATATATTATCTGAGGTGAACTCTTAATATACCTTCTCATGTTTAGGATTAGACATCTTAAGCATGAAAATTAATAATAAGTGATCCGATAATAATAAATCTTAAATAAGACTCTCATATTATGTTAAGAATGTGTGATTGTGTCTAAGTCAACTCTATAAAATCGATTTGTAAAGTCAGATTTGTCCTCATTTGTCAAAACATGTTTAAGTAATATGTTATCTCATGTAAAAATCTTTTTAACATATTTTTTCCTAAAGGTAAAGGTGCAATGCTATTGTTTGATAGCACAATGAATTATATGGAATTTGCCGACTTTTGAGGAGAAGATTCTGAGCATCAATAAAATTGAGTTCTAAGTTATTAATGTAAAAAAAATAAAAAAAAATGTTCACAAATTTATGAGCTTATTAAAGTGAAGCCATTTATCTTATTAAATATTAGCATTTTGTATTTATATTTGTACATTATGGATGTAACTATAGCAACTCACTAGCAAGAAAAAATCTTGGAGATACTCCAAGTACTATCTGGCCAACAACTTAAGTGTCTAACTGTCTCTCTAACATTTTTTTCTTTCTTTCTGAAGTCTTATTTGCCAACAGTAACACTCAGGGCTAAAATATACTTTCCTGTAACATTTTGTTTTGGATCATTTATTATAATATTGGCAATTTGCTAAACAATACTAATATATTAAAAGGAAGTGTTTTATTCTCAATTCTGTGTGTCACATTGAAAAGAGAAAGTTTGTTTTAACGTTGAGTACAAACAGATATATGATATATGAGGTTTACATCATAGAGTATGTTAATGTATATAATTTGGATGATGGCGATAATAGCAATAATTTGAGTTTAGGTGAGGTAGGACAGGTCCACTTGTTGATAGCTTTTACACTTATAAGTGTCTTTAATTGTAATGCACCGTCTTTAATTCCATTGTATAAAAATTAAAATTTCCAATGACATAGGAAAATTAAAATTTATATTTAGCCGGCGGTATGATATAATGACGGCGAAGATGGATTTATTTATGATTTTTTAATGGTGAATATTCATGTATCTTTCTATAAACACTCTCACAGTCTATTTACGGGTCCTTTGAAATTTATATTAGTTTGATCAAAGACAAAAATTATTTATATTAAATGGAATTAGAATTTAAGACTCTGAAACAAGCACACATTCATGACTCAAGTATTTATCTCTAAACCGATCTCTTTGAAATTTTATCTTTTGAATTTAAGATTTGATAGATCTAGATTAAGGTTTTAAGATAGAAAAAACATCGTAATTTTACGCCTATCCCTCTTATATTGTTTTCTCTTTCATATATATATATATATATATATATATATATATATATATATATATATATATATATATATATATATATATATATATATATATATATATATATATATATATATATATATATATATATCATATTTCTCTCTTATAAAATACAAATAAAGATTCATCTGTTTTTTCATATTAAAAAGAATAAAAGAAATTGAAATTTAAGATAATGTATATGTATTTTCTTCCTTATTATTTGCTAGAATGTAATATGGAAGTGTATTTCCAAATTATTGTAATGTTGAGTTTGAGTTTTTAATTTTTTCTTCTATTATGATAGACCTTAGATAAGGTGCACCCTGGCGCTATTCCCAAAGCTATTGTGTTTATGGATGTTAAATTGATTGATGTCGAGGTAGATGTTGGTACACAATTTCTAAATAAATGAGAGTTTGTTGTTCGTGAGTGTGATACGGTGGGAGAACTGACTTGAGGTTTTGCGTTTGTATTCGCAAATGTTGCGGTTAGCAAGAGTCACCACCGACTTTTTATTTTATCCTAAGGAAAGGTTAAAAAGCACAGCAAAAACCTTTTGAGATATTTCGTGGGTTCGGGGGGTAGATTATGAAAAGGGAAGGTGTTAGCACCCTTTTCATCCATGGTTATCCATGGGCTCTTAGTTACTTGGTTTTTAGATCACTTGCCTTGTTTTTTGATTGCTTTGAAAATGGTGTGTGTGGGTGCTTTTTGAAAATGTTTTGGAAAAAGATGCCTTGTCTTAGGCAACTAATGTATTTGACTCGTGTTTTGAGTGTTTTACAAAAGTGTGAATCTTTTCGAAAAGATGTTTTCAAATGTTTTTAAGAGTTTGTTTGAAAGTGTTGTGGATTGTGGTTTTTGAAAAGAAGGCAAGTGTTTTTGCAAGTTTGATCTCAAGTAACTAAGAGTTTTGTCTACCCTATTGTACTCAAAGGTTTTTGTCATGTTTTAACCCCTTTTTAACAATTTTGTTCCATCATTGAAATTGATGGACAATCTTGCGTTTAGGAAGTTTATTCGGGACAGGCGCGGGTCATCGCATAGACCATGAGTGCAATGGTGCCAAGTGTCTTTGGCAATTATTTCGAAGGGACTATGATCATTCCATTTAGGCAACACTTTGAGGGACTTGTGATCATTTGCTTTTATTTTGCCAAAGATACTCGACGTGCAAGCATGGCCCATTTTGGAAGGCATCATGTGGGATTACCTTAGAGGGTGCAAGTGTGATTATGTATTGATTACATGCATTTGCTTTGTATTAGGTTATCTAACGTTTGATTTTATGTACATACAAACCCTAGGTCTAATCATGGTATAATTGGAAAACTGTAAATTGCGGAATGTAAATCTACGCTATTACAAAATGGTGTCAGGGAGTGGGGATATAAATGTACAAGGGGATGAGACTTATAGTATTTACAACCAAATCGAATGTCACAATCAAAATATAAATATCGAATGTATAAATATAAGATAAAATGTGTGTAGGGCAATATATTGTGTAAGTGCAAATGTGAGATGTATATGTATATGAATTGTGTAATTATGTAACAAGTGCGAAATGTGAAATTGAGTCGCATTAGGGTTTGACTTAGATATATGTTTTAATCTGTATTTTTGATTTTTGTTTAATTATGTACAAAAGAAAAAGGAAGTGTTTTGATTAAATGTTCAATTTTTAATTGGAAAGTATTTTAGTCCAAATGTTTGTGAGTTTAATATTAGAGAAAATGTATTTAAATTGTTATGTGCAAAAAGAATGTTAATTAAAAAAAGAGTTTAATTTTAATTATGTATGAAAAATGTATAATATGTACAAATATATATTTCAATTAAAAAGTATTTTCAATTTAATTATGTATGAAAAAAGAAAAGATAATATATACAAATGTATTTCAAAAAAAATGTTTTTAAGTTAATTGTGTATAAAAAGTATTTGGTTATTTTATATACAAATGTGTATTAATTAAAAGAAAATATTTTCAAATTTAATTTATATGATATGTACAAAATGAATGTTCTAAAATGTATGTACAAATATCTTATCTAAAAAATGTCTTAACCTTATGATAATAAAAAAAAAGCATTTTAATTAAGTTAGTATTTTTTCAAGGGATAAAAAATATTGCTTTTATAAAATAAAAAGAATGGTTAGTGTTTTATAAAAAGAGGAAGTAAGTATTGTTTAGGAAATAAAAGAAAGAAAAGGTTAGTGTGTTAATGGGCTTTGAATAATTAGGAACGGGTCAGGCCCGTGGATCTGGAACCAAAATTAGGGTTAGGCGCTTTGCTATTCAGAACGAGTGTTAGGGCTTGAGCGGCGCCGTGCGTTGGGTTCGTCTTCTCCGATTAGCAATTTCTGAGCGTTTTCTCCGGCCACCAGCGCTATTCAACGCCTTCCTTCCCTCCAAGGCATGAGCCTAGCGTCCTTGATTCAAGGTTTGATTACAACGCTTTATGTTTTGTGAACGATACGCATTTCTTTAATTCGAGTTCTTACTATTTTCTTTTCATTATGAGGTGAAGGAGAAGAGATAGAGGGCGAGGATTATACTACCTGATATTTGGAGGTGGAGGGAAGGTGGAGAAGTAGCGCTCAGGAGGCCGGAGCGGCGAAGGGAGATGCTTTGCTTCGGGTACTTTCGTTCCTTTGATATATTTAGGGTTTGATGATGACGCTAGACTGAGAACCTTTAATTCCTCACTTCTTTATCCCTTCTTCTGTGCCACTGTGTGTTGATTGCCTTTGAGCATGCGTATGTCTGAGTATTTGTTTGACTTTCGTTTTTCTGATTTGCCTATGTATGCTTGCCTATGATGAAGCTTGCTTCTGAGGCTCTTTGAACTGCCTTTTGAGATTGCTACTGTTGAAACGATTTTTTTTTACTAGCTTTCTTCTTCTCTACTGCTTGCGTTGCCTTGGGAATTCTGTATGTTGCCTTGGCCTATGATGAAGCTTGCTTCTGAGGCTCCCTGAGTTGCTGTATGCCTGTTGCTTTGAATGGTTGAATGCTAGCTTTTGAATATGTGTATGCTTTTAGAACATTGGCTGCCTTGATGTTGCCTTGAATGGCCTTCTGAGATACCTAAAGCTTTTGCCCAATGATGTTATACTGAGGGCCTGGAACTTTTGTGTGCTTTGATTATGCTTGAGATTGGGTTGCCTTTGAATTGTATGTTTGATGGTTTATTGACAGGTTCAGTGTGTTTATGTTATGGGTTTGAGCTTTTTGATGTAGGTAGGTGGTTATGGCATTTGTGGTTGATGAAATTTTGATGAAGTTTGATAACTCAGTTTTTGGTTATGTGAGGTTTTTGGGACAGGGTTGTGGCATTTTCAAGTTATGTGCTTGAAGGTTGAGGCAGGGTATTG